CTTCCCTAATCGCAAATGGCATCATTAGAGCAGACACAAATGGCTAAGGTGCACTGGGGATACTTAAGCTTACCTGTTCCTTGATATCAAAAATGACCTACATTCCAGAAAGCACATACTGCTGGCCAATGAAAAGAACACAAGTCTCTTATCTAATATCCGTGTGTTAATTGAGAAGGCAAATCTGGAGTCTCCATTGAGTAGGAGAGAACCTTGTGTAATTAGGTAGCTGGGGAAACCACACACAAGCAATATAACCACAATGTCAACCTGAGCATGCTACTCCAGAATGAGCACTAAACCCCATGAGACCTCCACGCTGACATCGATTATCAGCTGAGGAACGCTTCACCAGGAATTTCCTAAATGCGAAATACTTTCCCTATAGTCCAGACCCTTGTACAGCACCATGTGCCCTCAGTCTCCTGGAAGTCCCTGTATTTTGTCTTTTGGTTTTTTTTTTTTTTTTAAACTACTTTAGACACTGAGTCAGGTGTTCCTTGGAGATTCAGGTTTATCCTGTCTCTTGTTAGAAGAGGGTAGACAGAAAACAGCCACCTCTTCAGAAGAATTTCGCCTTCTCAACACGTCTATGACCTGATTTTTAGTGAGCCAGGATTTAGTGGAGGATGGAAGAAAGCTGACAGGATCCCCAAATGTTTTCCTTTGAGTCCTAGATAAGGGGAATTGCACACCTAGAGTTTCTACAGAATTCTGGTACTTCCTTGGAACAGAATAGTCTGCATATGAGGACAAGTTCTTCGGTGCTCTTAATGCATGGATGAAAGTCATGCCTGTGGCAATACAATTGAAGTAATGAGGTCTGAAAGCAGGTCAAAGGCAGGCCATGGTGGCACACATCTTTAATCCCCGCACTCGGAAGGCTATGAGTTTGAGGCTAGCCGGGTTTCAGTATAGGCTCCAAAGCTACACAGAGAAATCATGTCTCAAAAAAAAAAAAAGCAAAGTCAGGTCAAAGACCAACCCTAGTTACTCCTGAAAGCATGCCCATCTCATGTAGTTGGGATCTGCAAGAAATAGACTTAGTATTTCTTACTAAGCCAGAACTGAGTCATTCACCCAGCATGAGATGCACGGCATTTTCTCTTCCTTCCTCCTCCCTTCCTCCCTCCCTTCCATTCATCCTTCCCTCCATCCTTTCCTTGAACCCTCCATCCCTCACCCCTCCTTTACTTCCTCCTCATGTCTCTATGCTGGGAACTAGATGCAGGCTATACAAATATTCTACCACGGGGCTGCATTCACAGCTCAGCTGAAGTTCCTGTGCTTTGATCACTTTAGAGACAAATTTGTAGACTTTCCTCAAAGAATGGACTATGAATCAGGGCTAAGCAGGGCTAACAGAAAGACAAGCTAAGGGACACTACAGGTGCCCGTGAGGGTCATGGAGGGAAGAGGGCCGGGTAATCAGGGTTAAAGCTGCTCTTCTTCCTTCTACTTTCTACACGGCCTCAAACTTTTCTCAGTCACCCCATTCTTTAGTTGAAAACCTACAGAATTTTCTTATCAAAGAATACTCATTCATGAATTTATGACTCTTGTCAATTTCCATGGAATAAATATTCCCATTATGGCTGATTTCTAGCTAGTAATGTGCTGGCATCAGGGGCATCGTTGAGAAGTAGTGAATGGGCTCTTGACAGTCCACACGGCATGGGCCAGGTCTAGTCCACCTCTGTCTGTGTCCAAATTTACAAGATTAGGGATGGCTTGCCAAAATACATTACCATGTACTGAGCCTTACATATATATTTAATCAATTAATTTTCAACAAAAGCCCACATTATAGATGGGAAAACAGGCACAGAAATGGAATTTGCTTAAGATTGCATATAAAGTACATGTGACTCTAGGATTCAACCCACAAACTCTCCCACTCGCCTAACCCCCTCCCCCAGTTTATCCTCAGAGTAGCTGACCTTAACCACTGTTCGTATAACCTCTAAAATTATTTTATTTCATAGCACTTTTAATGCTGCTATTTACTTTTAACAGTGAGTGCCAGCCCACTGACGCACCAGCTTCCTGTAAAGTTCCTACCATGTGGGTGTGTGGTCAATGGCACAATAATTTTCTGGAGTATGAAAAGTGAATGTATAGTGTTGGATACTAATAGTGTTTTGTTAACAAAACATGGGATAACATACTTCTTGCAAATAAATGATTAACTAAAGTTATGTAGAGAAAGCTCCAAGAAAGACTTACTCTTCTGCTGCCCCTTTAGTTCCTGTGTAGACAGGTAGGGGGCCCCGAAATCTGCTGCCCAGAACTCCTGCTGCCCTTTCAACACCCCATGCAGTCAGTGAACCATAGTGCATGAAAAACCAAACTGCTCAGTATTCTTAGAACGAATGTTGGCTGAGTGCTCAGACCCAGATGAGACACCCTGGACGCCTGATGGAAGATGTCTGAAGAGCAAGCTGGAGAAAAGACGTGGAAAGCAATCTCAGGGTAGGGCATAGCCATTACAAATATGATCTCACAGCAGCTACAGTTGGCTGCACTCTATCTACTTAAGACTTGGTGCCTGTCAAAAGCCATTGCATACCGGGGAGGGGCTCACGGGGTCCCACTACTCTATGAAATTTGCTGTGGTAAGCACTATGCCCAAAAAGCTACTTGGGGAGGAAAGAGTTCATTTTAGTTTATACTTTCTAATTTGTTAATAAACCACAAAGGAATGCTGTCTGCGGGCTGTCTCCTTCTAACTCATGTTCAGATAACACACACACACCACACACACCACACACCACACACACACGTATGTGTGCACAGCAAATGAACAAACAAAAATACCCCAGGATCACTTGTTCAGGGTTGGCACCACCCACAATGCTTTGGACCCTCCTTTACCAATTTACCAAGTAACAATCGAGAAAATATCCTATAGACAATCCACAGGCCATTTTGAGGGAAGCATTTCCTCAACTGAGGTTCTTCTTTCTCAGGTGACTTCAGTTTGTGTCGTGTTGACAATAAAAACTAACCAGTATACCTTCCATGATGAACTGTTGGCAACTGGTGGATTCTAGGGAAGGGACAGCCATTGACTTCAGTGATGTAACAGACACTGAACCCATGGGCTTCCAATGAACAGTTCCAATCCATGGCCACACAAAGTATCCGGCCCAAATTAATGGGTAACACACAAAAGAAAGAGGCTTGAATGTGGGAAGGGACTAACTACAGGGAGGCCGGGGCAGGGATGGGAGGAGTGGGAGGAATAGAAGAGAGAGTGGAGCAGTGGGACTGAACAGAATGAAGTTGTCAAAGAACAAATTTAACCACTAAAAGTATGTTGGAACAACAGACAGATTGACTCAGTGTACGGTTAGCCTCGCCAAGGTGAAGGTGCATATGGACCGGCAATATAACAATAAGAAGAATTTGAAAAAGAAAAAAAATGAGTTAGAAGAGGAATGAAGCTCGTCTTAATTTAATTTAATTCTTAATTTTCTACCTTATAAGAGAAAGGATTTACCACATTCAAGTGTGAATTTATCACTACAGTCTCTCTTACATAATGACCGAGTTTCTATATGGACACCATTACCCAAGAACTGCTGAAAATTTGATTGTGGGTGCATGATTTCATACTCGCTTTTGTTTATGACTTTGTTAGAGAAAATGGAGAAACAAAGATTATAATTAAGCAATACTTCAGAGGAAAATCCACTTGGCTTTAGAGAGCTGGCAAATTCCTCGTTATTTCCATTGCAGGGATTAGGCAAGTAGTCCCCAAATCCTTAAGCAATGCTGGGGCTCGGATGCCCTTTGATTTAGTCAGCTATCGTCAATCCTTTTTAATCTCACAATTACAGCAATAAGAGGGGAGCACTTGTTTATGTTCAGGGTTTGGAAACCTTCATAGTGGTAGCTGAGATGTGTTTGTTCTCTTACAAGTTAGAGAACTTACAGTAGCTGCAGGATCAGCTTTGGCACAGGGTCTCGGGTCCGTGGTATGTTTTGTTTTGCTTTGGTTTTTTTGTCGCCTTGGAATTCCCCCCCCCATGATGCGTTTGCTCATTGACACTACACATCTGTCTTCTCCTCTGAGAAGTTTCCATAAAGCAGCATGTCTGCCCAGCCACTGTCACCCCAGGTGTGTGCTCTGTATTTCCTATGAAGAGTTCTTATTTCCTTCCACCATGCCTTTGTTTATTAGTCTAAAGCCTCTTTTAATTACCTTTCTCATTACATTGACAAAATACCTGGAAAGGCTTATTATAACATATAGTGGGAAGGAATAGAGTTCAGCACAGAGGTTCGGACATGATGGTCAGAGTGTAGGCTGTGTTGCGCCCTCCTACACTCAGGAAGCAGACAGCAGACAGGACATGGTGGAGAGGGACAGAAAAGCCACTCCCCAGTGACCCATTCCTTTCAGTCAGGCGCCACATCCTGAGGGTTCTGGAACCTTCCAAATGACAGCCATCAGCTATAGATCCATAGACCCAGATGTGGGAGCCTATGTGAGACACTTCGCACGCCAACCACAACAGTGAGGGAAGCCAGCATTTGTGTGCTTGTTTTCCCCTTCTACTCACAGTGATGAGTGCTCACTGAATATCTGAGGGATGATTTAAGGCTAAGTCAGGTTGGAGAGTTGGCTAATTGTGCCATACAAAAATACTGCTGGTTATCCCCCGAAAGGCGATATACCAGATGGATCAGGACCATCAATTCATGTGTAATTTCCCATTCAAAGTTTATGAGAAAACAAAAACATTAATTGAAACAATTAGTGGGAATAGATTTAGTAACCCATGAAAGAAGACCAATATAGTTCCTTAACATCTTGAAGGAACTTTTTCCTGTTAATAATTACTGAAAAAATTCTCTCCTTCCATTTTATTAGACTTATAATCATATCACCCTGGGGGATTTGATATGTTTTTTTTTTTGTATCCTCTGCCATTACACACTATATATTACCTAGGACATTGTTTAATTATTGTAGTAAATGTTTGTGAACTGACCTTTTTATACCGCCAAATGTTTGTGCATGACCCAAGAATTTTCCAAAGTCAATATGAAACATGTGGCCTGACTTTGTCAGCATGATATTGTCATTATGTCGGTCACAGACTCCCAAGATGAACGTTACCACACACCAGCCAGCACAAGAGTAAAAAAAGTTCCTCAAGGCCTGTCAGTTGAAAAACAATGACACAACATGACAATAGTAAAGCTAAAAAGCATCTATAATAGTTTGCCATCTATTTCTAGTATATATCATCTTTAGCTCTATCTATCCATTACATATCTTTATTTCTATTATCTATACATCTTTGTATTATATCTATCATCTAGCTTTCTATCATCTATCATCTATCAATCATCTATCTATCTATCTATTATTTATCTGTATCTATTTCTAACATCTATCTCTCTTCTACAAGCCATTTGACAATGGTAGTTGAAAAGTTAGTGCCTAACAGAAGAAATTTTAGCAAAGGGGTTTATTTATACAAATTAGAGATTGTGGGAAAATATAAGCTACTGGCAGGATTTAATTTCAGAAGGCATCATCTCTAGAATGTGATTTCTGAGAGAGAGAGATATCTGAGTGAAGATTCTTTATTCATAGCAAGGAACTTCACCCAGAAGGAAAACAAAATGTAGAAACTTCCATCTAGTTAATATGCCAGTTAAATTGGGTTGTTCTCACACGGTTGATGAGTGAGTGAATTAGAACTCAAGGTGGATTTAATTTACTTTCCCATAAATCACAATATCAATGGACCAAAGCATATTCTTATTTAAGTACATTACTTAAAATTAGTTCCAGAAGAACAAACCTTTTCATAATCTTCCTTTAAGTGGTTGTGCTGACTGAACCACTTCTTGATGGTGTTTTCTTTCAGTGGTCCTATTAGCCCAGAGTGGAGATGGATCTTGGCGAGTGTTACAGCATCTGGCACCATCTCTATCAATCCTGGATGACAACAGAGAGATTAAGGAAACTAACCTCGCTTCCCAGGTTGAGGAACACTGAGGCCATGAACCTCAAAATGGGTGGCAACAGTGCTTGTCAGCACTATTTGGACTTCTTCCTCTCAAACCATTTCTGTAAAAGCCTTATCTAGGGTGCTCCAGATTATTCTTCCTAAGGTTATCAATTTGAGTATGTTCATCAGCGCTATTAGAAGCAGCTTAATGTTTTCTTTCTAGAACTATGATAGAGAGACAATATAGATGGTCCCATGGAAGATTATGGTCACTAGAAGAGCAAATTGACTGTCACTTGTCTGGGTGTGGGTAGGAGGTGGTGGTGAAGCTATGCAGGCAAACTTTCACATTTAAACAATGGATCTGTTTCTGCCTTCCTTGAACAAAATATAATTCCCTCAACAAACATGTCAAATGCATGATTTAAAAAAAAAATCTCTGTTCAGAGTGTTGACTAAATGATCTTGGTAAAGTGTCTGCCAAAAGAGCCTGAGAACTAGAGTTCAGAGCTCCAGCACTACTGTAATTATTGTAAATGTCAGGAAGACAAGCGGCACGCCTATAAATTCCAGCCTTCAGGACGTGGACAAAGGGCAAGGTGGGTAGCCAGACTCCTATGTCTGAAGGCCCTGGATTGAGGAAGAGCCTCCCTCCCTTCTTCTCTTCCCCCACCCCCTCCTAACTTCGGAGTTTCAGCTAGTGCTGCCTTTGTATGCTTGGATGGGCAGCCATCCATGGGGGCATGGGAATCCTACCAATGGCCACATTCTCAAAAACAGGGATTGGTCATCCCACCCTGTCAATAGTCCCTCAGTACAGGGTAGGACTTGAATATCATGGGCCCCATTTGTGCTTGAGTTTTAGCTGGTTTGATATGCCGGTCTTGTGAAAGTAACCTGCAGCGACTCAAATTAATGAATGCAATAGCCATGTCAAGTCTAGAGGACAGGAAGATATGGGAGGATTTGGAGAAGGGGAAAAAAGGAGGGCATATAATCATGTATTATGTAAAAACTCTCAATAAGTTTTTATAAAAGACTATTCCTCAGTATATGGAATGGAGAGTGATGGGGAAGATATTCTACTTCAACCTTTCACATTTGCATGTATGTGCATACACATGAATTTGCACCCATATGCAAAATCATTGAAACACACACACACACACACACACACACACACACACATACACACTTTAAAAATTAAATTCTGTTTAGACTAATAGAAGGACTTCTTTTAAATGTTATATTTCTCAGAGTGAACAGTGGAGGGTGCCGCATGCTCCTTCCCTGCCAGACAGCATTAAGGAGAAGCTGTAATAATGATTTCATTTAAAAGGGAGCATGTCTTGATTGAACTTAAGTAGGACCTTTGCCTCTACGGTCACTCATTCATCAAGGCTTTTCACTGGGCTCCTAAGGTTGTTATCCTGTATAGACTAAAAAGCAGAGGTCTTGAAAATATTTCTTAACAGCCTTAGGAACACAATGAAAATCATACAAATAGTATCTCAACCTCTCCAGAGATGGAGATGAACATCACCCAATAATTCTCTAGGCACTGCTTTACAAATAAAATCACTGAAATAAATTGAAATCTAGACTTTCTTATGTTTGCAATCCTCACAATAGTTAAGAGATGCACAATCAAATGCTCAGAGGAGGACGAAAGGCAGCAGAAAATTTCTATGACCACAGAGAGGGCCATAAACAGAATGCCTTTTGAACAATAGGTATCCAATAAGCCCAGAATCTAATGAAAATGTAACCTTGTTTTCTGAAAAATGGCCTTTATTTTGCTTTCTATTTTTGTTGGAGAAGTGTTCTGTCAGCATAATTCCCTCTATAAATCTTGACATCAAGAAGACTGTTGGTACATGGAAGAGGGAAACAACATCTTCTGCCATTTGCCACTTTGGGAAAGTCTAAAGCTGTTTCTTTAGAAACTCCTTATTAACTGTTAGAGATTTCACCTGGGTTGCATGCTGCAAAAACAAACAGACAGGAGTGGATAGAAACTGTAGCATTTTACTGGAACCCAGCATTTATTCACTTTCTAAAGCATGGGTGACCTATGGGAGATTAGAAGCACAGTCTGGTTAAACTGGATTCATTATTAGATCTCCAGCAGATTGGGATATGGAAGAATTATGTCCCTTCTGTAACACCAGGAAGGGTGGAAATCAGGAGATGACAATCCACTACAGCAGTGATCAGAGACTTCGTTTAAGAAATTAGGAAAGGTTTGGGGACCATTTGCTTGGAGCAGAGCCCTTACAGTTGTAACAAAAGTAAGATTGTCTTTGATCTACCAGTGATCCCTGAGTCAGTTGAGAGGGGATTCTGCATTTAGCAGATAACCTCTCAAGACATACTGGCTAGGACCCTGAGGGTAATGCCAGGGCATCGGGAAGAGAGGACTTTCATAGTAGTGATTCTCTTGCAACAATGGCTTTAAATAGTAGATTTATTGGAATTAAAAAGTGACCATATTATTTAGGAATTTTTTCCAGAGTAAGTGAATGAAGCCATAAAGAAAATGTGGTGTATACAGAATGGAGTTTTATTTAGTCACAAAGAGGAATGAAGTGATGTTGATTGCTGGACAATGGATGCAATGAGAGACCACTATAATTATAGCAAGTGAAAAGAGCCAGGATCAGAAAGACAAATACTACATTTTCTTCCATTTGTGGGCTCTACATTTTTTTGTAGAGACATAAAACCATTTACATGTGAATACATACATGCACATATATGTGTACATATGTACACATATACATACACATATATGGCATGCAAGGAAAGAGGCCCCAGGGTGAAAGGGGACCAACATGAAGGGGAAAGAAAAGGGTATGAGGGTGACTATGACTGAAATACACAGTGTGCTTTAAGGAAATGATCTTTATTGAACTCTACAGTATATAGGATGAATAGTCACCATTAATAATATTTTTTAAAGGTCACTACTTAGAGGTAGTATAACTAGGTAGGAAATACCATGGTTTTGTGCAATTAATACGAAATTTAGCAAACTTGCAAAATAAAAACATCACTATTCTCCCAAAATAAAACTGACCAGTGAATCTAAATGACTTAGCCTTTTATTCTATATGTTTGGGTTTAACAAAGGAAAAGAGATACTGAAGTATCTTCAAAGTATGCATGCTTTCTCATTTTGATTGACTTTATAGCTATTCAAAATTCTTTTTTTAAAATCAAATGCCAGTTCTGGGCTGATGAGATGGGTTAGCAAGTAAATCCTCTTGCCATCCAAGCCTGGTGACCTAAGGTTGATACTCAAGACCATCATGGAGGAAGGAGAGAACTGATCCTCCAAACTGTCACCTGACCTCCACACATGCAACATTACATGCATGCTACTACGCACACACATTTTGCGCCCACGCACACACACACACACACACACACACTAATAAGTAATAAATAGAAAATAAGTGTTGTTATACCATGTGTTTAGTAATGTTTAGGATTACTTTAAACACGTGCAGATTGTGTGTTAATAGTGATAATGGTTTTGAATGGACAGGTTATTTTATTATGCATGGTGCTAGACTTATCAAAGGTTGACTTTGTACTTGGGAAAAGTGACAAGCATTTAGGAGAAAACTTCCAGACTTTCAAGTCTGGACCTGAATATCTTCCTGGGCTGTCAATATCTGTTACAGCAGTGGTCTGTGATACTGGATACCATATCATCACTGCAGATGTCAAAAATCTACATTATCTCAGGAAATGAAGAAAAAAATGGATAGTCATTAAAGCAACTAATTCCTAGAGGGAAGCGAAGAACATCATAGTTAACATCTGAATTGCAAAGTCAAGATTAATATCTAACATCTAATATCTAACATCAATCATCCTGGTTTGCAGTTTTGAAAACTGTTATTTCTTAGGAAGGGAATGTACGTCTCTGGATCTTTGAAAGTGGAGCCTAAGAGCTGTAGGTTTGTGGTATGTTACTAGAGAATGAGTGAGATAAATAATGTAAATCACCTCATTTTCAAATCTGTACTGACCTTGGGCTTTTCCCGTGGACAGACATCTATAAATAATCATTTGCATATCTAGGCCCTCCTGTAGCCAGATGTTGTCCATCACTTGAATAATCTGCAGAACAAGCATGTCCTGCCGAAGATCATCCCCAGCCTGTCAAAACAAAATTGCAAGCTCACACCAAGTGCCATTCAAATCACCTCAATGTGGCCCACACCCCCTTTTCCCCTTGAATATTGTTCCAGCACAACTTAAAGTGGTTTTCCTTGTTTTGTTACCACTGAAAGCAGACAACGAGAGGGACATCTGGCCTTTGAAGTGTCACGTCACAGGAGCTCCAGCTGCAGAATAGGAGGCACTGCTTGGAATGCTACCCTGGATAGTAATCTCCTCGTTCATTATCTGCACACAGTTTCTTATGCTCAAACTCTAACGCAGAGAGGCACAATGAATGTTGACCCAGGTTTCAGCTCAATCAAGGGAGATCTAGAAGTCTGTCATAAGCTTATGTACAGAGATGCAATTAGAATCCTGGTGGCTTCTTCACTGTGCCATAATGTGCAAATGTCTGATGTGGTACCTGAGCATCATTGACTTCTACTGTGAAGTATGCAAGATAGTTTCCAGAGGAAACTGCCCCTGAAAATAAGAAACAACAAAAGGGGTGTTTTTCATCATAGTTGAAGGAAGCATAATGGCTCCCAAAGGGGAGAACTCTGTGCTTTCATATAACTAAGAGTTTGATCATTCAACTGTGCTTTAATTTATACAAAGATGACTCATGCTAAGGTTTCTTTTTCTTCATGAAAAATAGAATGTTTAGGGTCAGTGATGCTCAAGTTTTTTGAGAATCGAAGGCCAAGTGCCAGCACCATCATCCTCATTTTCAGAACTAGCCAGGATCCACCAAAGATTCATCCTGGACACTGCTGAATGGTTGGCTGTGTCAACTGGATGACTAGCAGACTCGTACTTCTACTCAGCCCTCCTTGTCAGTGTCTCCCTGCACCCTGCCACATCTTCAACCCTCTTACTGCCTTTATTCTCCAGTGAGTTCATATGAGGACTGAAGTGCTCCTTATTTATTTTTTATTTATAGAGAAAAGAAAATAATCCAATTTACTTAGGCAAGTGCTGGTTCATGCCTATAATTTTAGCACTAAAGAGGTAGAGGCTGGAGGGTCAGAAGTTCGAAGAGAGCCTACATGAAACTTTCTCTTCAAAATTAAAAGGATGAGAAAAAGATAAACAAGCAACAACAACAGCAAAACTAAGAATAAACGTTTGGTGAGATGATGAGATGCTTACATGGTTCAGTGAGTAAAGGCCATGCTTGATGAGTTCAGTTCCCAAGATGGTAGAAGAAGAAAACCAGCTCTCAGAAGACCTCTTGTCATGCTTCATAATAAGTGTGTGTGTGTGTGTGTACATAAAATAATAAATAAGCAATAAGCAAATACTTGTGAACAAACATTCTATCTTAAAGTTACCAGCTTCCAGGTAATATCCTTCAATATTTTTGTCTTTTTAAGTCTTAGAACAAAAGAAAAATCTGCTTCTGGAAGCTTCTCACACATTTCACTTTCTCTTTCAAAAGTGATCCCATGCTTTCATTTATTCAAATTTATTTTAAGATTTGAACTGAAGGATACTTGGCATTTAGCCAGTAACATTTGATTTATTGCCAATCAGCTTGGCATGCACCATAATTCAGTTAAGAGACAGACTCTAAAATAATTGGGAAAGCTCTGTGTCTTTGCCAAAGGAAAATAACTGCAATCATTTCTTTTTGTGAGCAATAAATCAATAGTTCTGTTTATGAAATCAATTTTGGGATCCAGGAGAGTTACTATACCTTAAAAATAACACCAATGTTTTTGCCCATTGGATCAGCATTGATGAAAGTGATCTTCAATGGCAAAGCATTAGATGTGAAATATGAGCATGCCTGTAGGAGAAGAGAAAAACGGTGAACAAAATATGGCAAAGACAACACCTTTTGAAAATCTCAGCCCCGTGATTTGTTGGATGAGTAAACATAACAAATAAGTGTGATTTTAAACTGTGAAACAAAAAATTTTATTTGTCAAAAGATAAACACACTAACATTATTTTCCCAACCTCAAGTGTTTGTCACTATGTACCTTTCTTCATATCTTGCTTCCTGCAGTTTTGGGTACCTATAGTCAACCATATTCCATACTATTAAATGGAAAATTCCAGAGCTAATTCTCAAGCTTTAAATTGCACATCTTTCTAAGCCCAAGATGAAGTTATGTACCATCTCATTATCTTATAAGTATGTTAACAATCTTTGTGTAATACATTCACATGGAATAGGCTATACATAGGGGAAAACCACAATATTTATGGATATGAGCCCACATTCTCTTTAAGAGATTGTAAAACATACCCTCTTCAAATAAGGAGGGGAATAAATATTATACTTTGAAGTTGAGAACCCAGCATTTTAGTAGATTAAAAACCTTCCAATACAATTGTCAACCATATTCCACATTATTAAATGGAAAATTCCAGAACTAATTCTCAAGTTTTAAATTGCACATCTTTCAGAGAAGCAAGATGAAGTTATGTACCATCCCTCACTATCTTATCAGTATGTGAATAATCTTTGTGAAGTGTAAGTGTGGTGTTTAACTAAGAAATGTCCTCCATAAACTCATACGTTTAAAAACTTGATCCACAGATGGTGGTGCTATTTGAGAAGGGTATAGAAACTTTTGGACGTGGATTCTTGCTGAAGGAGTAACTCTTCGAATTAGCTTTGCTTCCCACTTCCTCCTTTCCCTCTCTCTGCCTCTTATGTGTGGAGAGCCATGTGATTAGCCAGTGTTCTGCTTCAGCTGCCTGTTATCCTACCTTTCCTTCCATGATGTACTATATCTCTTTGGAACTGTGAGCCACGACAAATCCTTTCCCCCTTAAGTGGCTTTATCACAGCTACAGAAAAGTCACTAATAATACATCAAGCAATGGAAATGTATATGCTCAAAGTAAACTAAGAGGTATATAGCTGTTGTGTTTATAATACTTGGCTAAGAGATTAAAGTTAAATCTGCCGTTTAAATTTATTTTCTTTCAATTTGTATTTTACTCTGGAACACAGATTAAAGAAACATGGATAAGAGAAATCTGAATTCTAATCTTGGCCCTTTTTTATTAGCAATAAGATTTTAAAATTATTGCCTAATGTGTCTTTACAGAATAAGAAACCTTATCTCATTGATTTTGATAAGAGATACATGAGCTAATGAGTATGAGACACATTCTGCTGAGCTTGAGAGCAACAAGGTACTTAAAGAATCAACACATTGCATTTTTAGTGAATGTTTTCTGTGTAGACAACAACACAGCATAGTTTCCTTTTTTCATCACATTTCCTATTTATATCTTAAGTTGACTATTTCCACCCAACTTTCCCTCTTGCTTATTTTCCCAATTTATTTGAGGGTTGAAAGACTTCCTGTGCATAGAGTTGTAGAGAATTCATATTGAAGGTAAAGAGTTAAATCAATATCAAAGAAAAGAAAGGGATTTGGTATGTTCAATCTATCAAGCCAGTAAAATATGACATCAATATGTATTGAAGGTTGAGCTTGAATATGTGCATCTGACATCTGAAATCGGTATGAACTGAAAAGAAAGGAATCTATTTCTTAACTTAGTTGTCAACACAAATCTAATCTAATTTCTAACCAAACAAACACCCTTGCTTGCTGAGTCAATTTGAGTTTTATAGTTTTAAAGATGAGGTTACCTGAGAAGTATGAGTTTCTGCTGTGAGAACCATATAATCCTTTAGTGAATTATATGATCTTGCCATGTTATAGAATTATTAGTGAATTTTATGATCTTATATTATATAATTAATAAATCCTATATTGGACAGAAATAAGTCTGTATACATTTTGAATTCCAATTATTGGGGCTTTATTTGAAGGATACCAGGTCAAGAGAATAGAAAAAGTCTAAAGGTGACTGTAAATACCTGAGACACTCACATTTTACCTGGACCTATTCTGCCTCCATTGTTTCATTTTTTTGCTTTCACATACAGTATACTTATTGAAAGTCATGTCAAAATACTCTATTATCAACAACTGCAATGCACAGACCATTATCTGGATGCTAACAGAAAGAGGCCCTGCATCTAGTTAAAATGTCAGTGGAAATTGGCATGCATGCATATACATACACATTAACTTGAGAATTCACAAAGAGATTTATCACAGTTGAATGGAGGAATATCTGAAGAGCAAAGTCATTTGGAGATGACCTAGATCTTGAAGATTATGAGAGACAAACACATTAATAGGCAGAGGAAGAATTTTCTGAGTGGGGAAAGGTAAACCATAGAGGACAGCTCAAGAGTAGAAGATTAAAAGGTGGCTAAAAAGGGTCATGAACAAGGGGCAGGGAGGTCTGAATCAAAGTCTTGCCGGTTATTTCATGTTTGGTAAAACTAGAAGGAAGAAAAGAAGATAAAAGGGGAAAGAGAATGACCTCTGTCCTTGAGAAGCAGAGACGATCGACACAGATATAAAAATAGAAACCGTAAGTAAATAAAATGCCTGGTCCTCGCTTTTCCATCCACAAAGAGACTTCATTAAGAGACTCTCAACTTTCTCAAATGATCATACATCAGCAGCTTGAACGGAAATAGAGGAATTGTACAATTAGGGATTCCCTGAGAGGGCATGACTGAGGAATTTTCTTGCAAAAGGAACAAAACTCAAGCCACAGCCCTCTTGTTGTCTGCCTTTGAGAGCTACGCTTTACAAAATAACTTGAGCCAGGCCTGAGTTTTTCTCCCACTGGTAGAAGCCAGACTGAAGATTTCCCCACGTTGACTGAACTCATTGGATCCATTCCACCGTGAACTCTTTGGTATGCAGGAAGCTATGAGAGATAGTGATCTACACACACCAAAGAGCTTCCTTAGGTCATGTGTAAGGTGTCTCTGACAGACAATGAGACCAGCACTATAACAGAAGAACTCATGTTCATTGCATTTATAAAGTCCATTACACATGTGATTTTTTATTGTATAATGAAGTGTGAATTTTGACCTCATATGCTTACGTGACTAGACATTTAGAGAGTGGCTTTGTTTGTGTGATGTCTGTCACACAGAAAAAGACTCGAATGCCTTGTCACATTGCATTCAAAGGATTTTCTGTGCAATGGTTCACTCGCAGTCGACAATTAAAGAGTTCTAAATGACAGTTCTTCCAAATTGAGTTTGTGTGTGTGTTTGTCTCCCATCATGGAGATTCCGATGACTAATGAAGCATTTTTTCTAACTGAAGGCCTTGCCACACTCATTGCTTGCGCATGGCTTCTCGACAGTGTAGACGCTAGAATGTTCTCTAAGCATCTCTATTGGAAGGAGAGCTTTTTCACATCCATTTCAGCTGTAAGGTTTCTCACCCAACTTCTCACTAGGACTGGAGGACAGATGAAACTGCGCCATGAGAATGTCATATGGTTATGTCAATGTTGCCTGTGGCTGTTTCACACATGTTCTCCTCTGTTGCAGAGAGAGGGAGACACAGCATGTAGGGCCAGGAGGTGGCTCTACTTGGGGCAGCGCCAGAGCAGCAGGACTGTACTTGCAGTATAGGGAAGGAGTACAGCTTTAGCAGCGGGGTGAGCTAGCATCTCCCACACTGTTGACTACTGGCCCAGCAGTTCCTGCTGCCTTCCAGGGACCAGTCCTTATGCAAACACTGCCTGCAGAAACCTCCTACCCCAAGGCATGTCTAAACCAAAATGTACTTATAATTTTAGTAGTTGTCAAAATAAAATTATTCTATACCTTTAAACTCCCCCCTTTCCCTCTCTCTTCTCCCCACTCTCTAAAAAAAAAAGAACTGGCATTGGTGATCATGTTTTTCTGTTTAGCATCTCTAACATGCTTAGTCTTTATTTCTTAACCAATGAATACAGCTAACACTTGAAAACTCAAGCATTTTAAATTTTAGCCCCCATGGATATATGCCAATTTATAGGATTTAGTGTCTTGTTATTTTTTTTTCTCTCCAATTATGTTTGTGAAGCATATCAGGAAAGTTTGTAAGGGGCCTTGTCAGTAGCAAAGCCATAGCGATGAGGTGTGGAATAAAATCTTCAGCAACCTGTTCACATTTACACCACTAGTAGACTGATTTTCTCCTAACTGTTGGGTTTGTTGTCTTATGATTTGTCTCAGTATCATTTACTGCTTATGCATGATAGCTTAACCTCTTCACTTTGATATCTCACTTATCAATCATTTTCCCTATTAGTGTCTTTCTACTCTAGCGTTTTTGAGAAGGGAGATAATAAAGCTTAGTGAGAACAAAGGAGAAAGGAAGATTCCAAGTCAGAGAAAAGTTATTGAAGAGGTACCGCATGACAGAGGATTAGGAATAGAAGGCTAAAGAAGTCATGAGTCTGAAAATACTAGGAAAGACTTTACAGGCATTGGTAAGATCACAAAATATATAGCACATTTATATGTGGGCACTTGCATATTAATTTTAATCAAAATGGAGATGGATGGCTGAAGATATTAACGTAATAGACATGTTGTACACATAGCATGAATAGGCATGACATTGTAACCAGTTCTGCCAGCTGGTACATTCCTTAATAACTCAGGCGGATATGGAAAAATTTCATGCATGAAGTTCCCAGTTCAATCACATCATGTAATAAAACAAATCTACTCAGTGTGAGAAAAACTTTTGTTCTTTTTTATTTTTTCAATAAACTGACAGTTTGTTTCTAAGCCAACAGAGTATACTACAGGATCAATATTTCTTCAGCTCTGCACAATGAGTGAAACATAATATATGGTATGGACGGGATTAAATTATTTTCCTTAAGGTAGTTGCAATATTTGTTTGTGAATTATTTATACTACTTAAAAATATTTGGTGAACTAAATAATAAAATGATAAACAACCCACTTATCTACTGAATGAGTTGACTTACATCATGGTCGATTCCTTTTATGCACAGGGCTGGGTTCAGAGGAAGATGGCAAGTCTTTATATCTTTAAAGAATTCTTCCAGGTTGCCAATCTCTTTCTTTAGTATATCCTGTGAGAAAAGTAACCAGAGAAAAAAACAAGTTTTAAGAAATTGCAAGGAGCTTAACTCTTTATTTGAGTTGCACCTTCCTTCTATTGATCAAATAAACTCTGCCTCGGGGTGGGGGGGTAGGGGTGCGGGAGGGGGGGGGGGGGGGGGGGGGGTGGGGGGTGGGGGTAGGGGTGGGTGGAGGTATTGTGATTGACTGTGGGATTAGGTAGGGGGGTAAATGACAGATGAGGGAGCAACAGGGAGGAGCAATAGGAGAGAGGCTGAAAACACCCAGCCAAAGAGTTCATGTCCTTTTTCAATGACCTCAAGTTCAGCTGGAAGCAACTGTCAAACAAAACATTGTGCAGTCGTCAGGAATCAGGGTGGGTTGGAGTTGAGTGTGGTCCACTGATGTCAAACCCTAGTGTTAAGCAATTATTCACGTGATCTTTTTCAAGTAATCTCCTGAAATCTTCATTTATAGCTACCAAGTTTTGCATGTAATAGTCAATGCATTTTATTAAAAATATTATATATATGTTAGTAAAACAGCGACACAAGTGTAAATGACACTGTGCTGTCAGGATTGCTAATTTATGAGAACAAATTGTTCATGCAATACCAGTGGATGCATTTCTAAGTTCTTTCCATTGCAGATTTGAAAGTTCTTTGTGGGAACGATGAAGGTGAAATTTAATTTGGCTAGTAGAGGTTAACTCTGGAGAGTTTCTTAACTCTTACTCTTGATTCATGCCAAATGACAAAATCTATTTTGTTCAGGATCAAAAAGAAAGAGGGAAAATTCCACCTGACATTTTTCTGCATTTTTTCCCTGCTTGTATTAAGTATATGTGGGTTTGCCTGATGATATCATGGAGGGGAATCTATGCTCCTCAGAGAGGGACTCGAAATTAACAGAAGCCAGAGAATTCAAATTTCTCCAGTAATTGCACAGTGCTGACACATGGGAAGATGTTGCCAACAGTTCTGACGATTTGTCTCACAGGTGTATTAGCTGGAGCACAATTTTTGGCCTTGGTTGCATTTTTTTTTCCAATACTGTTACAGGAAAATGAGAGGAATTAGCAGTCACCCTTCCCTGATTTGGCCAGACTGTAAATCAAACAATTTTCTTTTAGAAGTTGGGCTTCCAATTTTCCTTTAAGAGTTGGGTGTTTATTTCCTAATTTCTCTGGAGGTTCAGGGAAGCTAATGTGGAGTTTTGTGGTAACACTCCCATTAAGCAAAATCTCTTCGCCATTTTCTGCAGTTATGTTTAATTCAATGTTTTTCATTTAAACAGATTATACACACACACACACACACACACACACACACACACACACACACACACACACACATATATATATATATATATATATATTTTTTAAAGGAAAGCTATCAGCATAAGAGATGGCTCAGCAGGTAAAAGTACTCCCTAAGCCAGCCTGACAATCAGAGTTTGATCCCTGGACCCCACAGCAGAAGAGCATCAACTCCTAAAAATTTTACTCAGGCTTCCAGTCCCTCAGCATGGCATGTGTGCACACCCTGAGACATCATACACAACACTAACAAAATAAAAATCACAAGAGCATTATTCAGGGTTCACGGTTGAAGAGAGGGTAGAAGAGAAGGTTGCTGTTGATTGACGTACAAAGTTGTTGTTTGGTTTTTGTTTTGCTTTTGTTTTTGACATGCCAGGGCTCTTCTATGTATGAACTAACAGTGGTTGTGTCTGCATGAATGAGGCCAAATGAGATCAAGCTGGTCAAAATCCTAACATGGATTGGGGAGGGGCTCACAAAGTCCCACCCCTTCCTGAAGAGCTATCGGTGATTGGTAGCTGCTCGTAGAGGGAGTTTCCTGTGAGATGTAGCCCTGATGGTGGATTGCCCGTGCTCTGGTAGTCGACCTTACACCTGTTCACATACTGGAAGTACTAAGTGGACTCACTGATTTGAAAAAGAAAATAATCATGGGTAAAGTTGAGAAGGAAAAATGTTAGGGAAGATACAGGAGGATTTGAGGGGACAGAATTGGAGTTAATTTAATCAAAGACATGTCATATGCATGCACGGAATTCTCAAACAATAACAAATACTGAACTATAATAAAATGCTAAACTTAGAGAGAGAGAGAGAGTGAGAGACCCTCCTACCTCTTGTTTACTCACCTCTTGTTTTCATATGAAAAAGGTATTTTTTTAACCAACATTGACAGTTAACATGATAAAGTTAGTAATACCAGCATCACTCTGGAACTTGATGTAAGCTATCAAAGACTACCAGGATTATTTAGCTATGGTGTGCACCTCAACACTGAGGAATTCTAAAACAGGGGATGCGAAACAAACCTAAACCCAAATTTCTGGAAAGTTCTACTAAATTATAAAATATGCTATCCTTTTTAATTTTTTTAATGGGGGGATCCAAGGATTTGAGAGGTGGTACCTTTCATGTGTCTCCCACTTAAAAAACACATTCCATCTTTTTAATTTTTTTAATGGGGGGATCCAAGGATTTGAGAAGTGGTACCTTTCATGTGTCTTCCACTTAAAGAACACATTCCATATTTATCCCTTTTAGTTCCCACTGCCTGGTAGATGAAGTAGCACCGCTTCTGGTATTTTTACTAAAGGCAATGGCTTCCAGTAGGAAAATCCTAGCTGGGAAACAAACTTAGCATATTCTGTATGTTGCTATTTTCATATTGTCTCGTTGGACATTCTTATTGACTTCAGACAATGAGCAGGAATTATGAGTTTCCTTGAAGACAAGATTATGTTTTAACCGTAATTTCTGCCCTTAGCTTCTTGTCTGTGGTGAGTACTTAACTGCTATTGAATAATGTTCTTTGTGCAGAGGGTGGGTAGCCACTGCCCTCCTGCTTATGCAACATCAGACTTAAACAACTCCCTTAATGGTTCCCCTCAATGAAGGGAGCTAATGATGCAGGTAATTAAAAAGATCCAATGTGTTCCATTTAAGTCAAGAAAAAGAACAGTTAGATGCAGCTATGCCAGAGAGAAACTGGCAGGACAATTTAGTTATTATATGTGAGTGGATCTCAACTTTTGGGTTGCAGCCCCTTTGGGAGTTGAAAAACCCTTCCATGGGGGTGACCTAAGGCCATCAGAAAATGTAGATATTTATACTATGATTCATAACAGTAGCAAAGTTACTGTTATGAAGGAGCAACAAAAATAATTTTGTGGTTGGGGGGGTCACCACAACATGAGGAACTGGATTAAAAGGTTGTGTAGAATTTGGAAGGTTGAGAACCACTGTTTCATGTAGATCTTAATATAAAAATAATGACTACTCATGGTATTGTTGAGGTTTATTTAATTTTTCTTATCAAACTGCTTTTTAGAACAATACGGAGCTAGACTGTGATCTTCTCCAAGAAGCCTGGCTGTGTGACAGTGTTAAGGTTGTAAGCTCAGGGGTCTGTAGAGATCATACAGTGCCACTTAAAAGCTAAGGGTGTTTGCTAATCTTCCAGAGGATTTGAGTTCTGTTCTCAGAGCCCAAGTCAGGAAGCTCACAACTGCTTATAACTGCTCTGCTGGCTTCTTCTGGCCTGTGGGAATATCTACACTCATGTGAACATACTCACACATGGACATATTCACACACACACAAATAAGAGCAAAATAATTTCATCAGGGTTTTTTTTTTCTTCTCTCAAACTGCTTTCAAGTATGTGTCTTCCTGTTATGACTAGTGTGTGTCACACGAGGCTACTTACATACCAAAGTCATTTGTGTCCTGATGACCGATTATATTACTAAATTTAAGAAAAGTAAATGGGGAAAAATACTTAATTTGAAAGTATTGTGACTAAGTATTGTTTTCCAAGGTATGAAACTGAAACAGTTGACTCAAAGGTAGACATTTTACAGTATGCTAAAGACTGATTTCTTCACCAACCTGTCTCTGGGGGTCACTGGCAGATTTCACTTTCTCTCCAATATCCCCCAAAAGTTTCACCAGCCTCTGCTCCTTGGAAAATTCATCGTTCAAGGCTTCTCCCGCGCTGAACTGGAGAGCAGCCAACAGCTTCTGATACCAGCTTTTAAAGCAGGCTTCATCTTGTGCCTCCCTCAGCAGCCTGGAGGAGAGAAAACACAAGTCCTGGCTCTGAAGGAGATTCTCTTAAAACCACCTCCAGCAGGAACAATAAGTACATTTCAGACTAATCTGGAAGTCATGGCTGGGGGCAGTTTAGCAGCTTAAAATGGGAAGAATGCTGTGTATTTGTTGGCAGTCATCAAACTTCATCTGATAGCTAATGAGCCTCCAAGAGAGAAGAATCAATACAGACTCTCCCTTTCTTCTTTTAATTCCCAATGGATTTTTCCTTCTCTCACTGTTCTTACTTTTGCAACAAACACTTAAGCCAGGAAATCTCAGAATTACTAAAATATGGACAAGGATTTACGAACACTTTTTGACAAGGGATGATGTTACACTGTAGTTTAGCCATGAAGGCCAACTTTTTGTCAAGCTATCTACCCCAATCCATCACATACATATGTATGGATCCCACCCCACTCCCAGAATGTCCCCTGGCAATCTGAAAGAGGGCATTGTAGGGCAAGAAGTTGTTTTTGTTTGTTTCCAGACATTGCTGGATTCAATTCTTACCTCTACACCATGTAAACCACTTAAGCTGGAACATTCTTTCTGCATTTTAAAAAAGATATTTCACTTCTTAAAGTAGGTGTGTGTGTGTGTGTGTGTGTGAGTGTGTGTGTGTGTCCATGTGTGTGCAGGTGCCTTGGAAGGCCAGAATAGGGCATTGGATCCTTGGATGGAGTTAGAGGTGATTGTGAGTCATCTGAGTTAGGTGCTGGAAACTGAATTCAGGTCCTCCTCAAGAGCAGTAAGTTCTCATAACTGCTGAGCCATCTCTCCAGCCCCTGAACTTTCTTTCTCTGTGTGTAAAATAATAATCCTTACTGTAGAGTTGATTAGAATGTACAGTGCTGATGTAATCATGACCTTGGAGCATGGAGCCATTTTGCATTTTGCAGCTTCCCCGTGTCAACTTCAGTGTGCCTGGCAGTCTGCTCATGGAGCATGGGTGAGGATGCTTGCAAGGAAAGCGAGCAGTGACAGGAATTTGTTTACCCTGTCTGCTGCTTGGCAATTTATATTGCCTTAAAAGCAATTACAATATGCTAAAACCTTACTTTCTATTATGCCCTAAAACACAAGAGTAGAATAAAAAGGAACAATTCCTTTGAAACTTAACTACTCTCAGATTGATTCTTGTAATCTCAATTAGTCTTCAATTTTCTCCTCTTCTGAAAATAGTATTCAAGCTAGAAGAAGAGCTTGAGGAAAATTACGGGACAAGATTACTAGAAAAGAAAGTTTGGCATTATAGCCAAGGAACAAAAACAAAAATCATAAAAACAAAAATCACAAAAGCAAAAAGCAAGACCAACCAACCAAACAAAGCTAGAAGCATGCATTAGGTATCTTTCTCTTAGCTGTGGTAAAATATCTGCAGATCATGAAGGATGAAAGGGTTTGTTCAGGCTCACAGTCTGAGGGAACCATTCACCAAGCAGAAGCATAGGGCAGCTGATCACATCACACCATGCCATGGCACACCACGTCACATCAATCACAGTCAGGAAGTGCAAACCGTGGGTGCTGGTGCTTAGCTTATGTTCTCCTTTTCATTTAGTGCAGGACCTCAAGCCCATGCAATGATGCTGTCCACATTTAGGGCGGGTCGTCTGAGCCACTGTAATAAACACAATTTAGAAACTCCCTCACATTCACAGCCAGGCTACAGACTTGTCTCTATGGTGAGTCTGGACCCTTGATAGTTAGCAGAAACCATTACAGAGTATGTCATCCTTCACTTCCGGTTTTGCATCCTTGTCCAACATACAGTACAATGCAAAGGTCTAGTATTGTTACAAATAAGTTTTCTGCCAGCCTGGTCTCAGTGTGGCGCCAGCCCCAAATAACACACTGAGACTCTGTATTTGATATAATGCTGTTGGCCAGGTACTAATTTCTTATTGGCTAGCTCTGTCTTAATTATTAACCCATTTCTATTAATCTAAGTATTTCCACGTGGTCTCATGTTACCGGAGAGTGGGCCCAGACCTCTGTTCTCCCCAGTCTCTACATGCTGATTCCTCCTTACTACTTCCTCTTTCTTCCTTGTCTCCTAGACCTGCCTGTCTTGCTTTCCTATTGGCTAACAGTGGTTTATTCATTAACCAATATGAGAGACATATGACATCTCTCATCAGTCTAGCATGCTTGCTTTCATCTGTTCAACTTTCTGTTCTGTAGCATCTGAAGATAAGCGGCCGCGGTTTTAAAAGCTAATGCCTCTTCTTTCACAAGCCTCACGGAGCCAGCCCATCTTCACTGCCTCCTTCTATGTCCCAAAGCAAATACAACCCTGTGTGAGATATCACTCCTTAGTTTCTCCTGGAAAGCACGAGAAACATATGAACGTAAAGAAACTGGAAGGATCTGAGGGTCCCTGGCAGGAAAAATGTGCTGCACTGATAACCTGGTTACTATGAAAGGGAGAACGCTTATCAGCACGATGAGAGTTTCGAAGCGCCGGTGGGTCATAAATGACCCATAGCATCGTTTGAAGATTCCCAGGAAATGTGTGACGTGAACACGAACCTGCAAGATCAGGCAAAACCATGCACAACGTCAAGATCTTCTATGGAGAACGATGCCTTTCAGACTCTTGCACCAAGGGTTGCGGTGGTGTGCCCTTCAATAGTTTATTTGTGTTCAGCGTGGTACGGAGTTTCCATTTCCCACGTATTTGTCAGCATTTTCTTACACCTTGAAGACTGAGTCAATTGTGCCCTGAAATATTTTAACCTGTTCCAGTTTATGAGTATAAATCCACAACCATGGAGCTGATATATATATATATATATCATATATATATATGTTATTACCTATGTATATAATAAAAATATGTTACTTGGTATAAATGAAACCCTCAGCTTTTTACTAAAATAACCAAAGAAAAGGCCTGTTTTAGGGTTGATGTCATAAGGACTGTCAGAACTGGATTGGCGTTTTAATGCATTTGTTTTTCATTCCATCAGAAATAAATTACTTCTTTTGTAAGCCTTGTGCATGCCGTTTCCCAGTTCAAGAAGGAAAACATCAGTTTGATTCCTTGTCTACAAAAGAGTAAAGCAGCGGAGATTTGCATAGAGAATATATGTGACCACTATGTAAAACGCATCAGGGCTGAGAATGCTCAGAGGTTCCTGCTGTGATTTTCTTGGAGAATGTAGCTGGCTGAAATCCCGAATCCTGCCAAGAACACATGCTCATGTTCTTGAAGACAAGGAGGAGAGAGGAAGTAGTAAGGAGGAGTCAGCATGTAGAGACTGGGGAGAACAGAGGTCTGGGCCCTCTCTCCGGCTCCTGCTCCTGCTCTATGCTCCGCGAGGAGTTTGTTTTTACATATGACAGGAATAAAACCATACAGTACTAGAGATGACCACTAGGGGCCAATTATTCTGTTCCTGCGCCCTTAGACATTTTTACTGGTAATAGAAATGAACAGCGCCCTGAATTTTCAACAACTGCGCGAATGGTTGGACTGCAGTTTCGAGTGGGGTGTCTCTCAGCTGTGCGTCGGTGACAGTCCCTCTTAGAAGAGGCAAATCCATCATGCTGTGGTTTTCACCCATTGCTTCTGTTTATAGAAACCTCGCAATTAGTTGGCTAGTGTCCCTGGAGTGTTACAGTAATCCTTTTTGAAAGAGATTGCCAAGTAAAAATGTTTAAAAATAGAAAGTAAAGGTCAAGGCACTGAGGAGCATTAGGACCCACTGAAGGAGAAGGCTTTTACGATACGGGGATGTGATCGTGCACAGACTCCGAGCTATCTCAAAGTCCCAGGGACTGTCCATCCTGTGGCCTGCAAGACCCAGCTGCGATGTTCCTGGATATTATCTCTCATCCAGTTGCTTTGATGCGCTTATCCCAATTGTGTGCCCTGGCAACGCTGAAGTAAGCATACACACACAAAACCCAGATAGCCAGGGGAGATTTGGACGGTGCTCAGTATTATAGACAGGAAGCAAGAGTGAAGGAAACATAACTTTACAGTGCTTCTGCCAGGACGGCATGTCTCTAAATTATTTGGCTCCTCTGGACTCAAAGATGCTCAGAGTAGCCATAAACCTTAACTAGCACGAAATGGAGGTTTTCCTTGGATATTAGAATAGTTCTAAAGTCTCCGGGCATATGACAAGCATCTGGGCACATGGTAAGCAACCTGCTGGAGAGAAAGGAATTCACATCTCATCAGTCTACCAGCAGGACAGGGCACAGCAATCTCATCATCCAGTCCCCTTTGTCCCCAAATTCTCTTCAGTCCGCCAGCTCTTAATTTTAGTTCTCCACAGCATAATGCCCTACATCACGGGGGCTAGCTGAGACTTTTACCACTGTGAATTTCCTGTGAATGAAGATGGGCATCAACCCATTATCAGAAAAGGATGGAGTCCCACCATAACGAGTGACTTTAAGGCCACTCCTGGACTCTATCTCCTGCCTTTGATTTTTTTTTTCCACATCATTTGAGGTGTGTGGATCCGGAAACTAGTGCTAGAAAACATTGGGAGATCCTAGGATGTAAATCCTTCAAGGACACAGAACCTTGGAAGAGCCAAAGGCTGGAAGTCAACACTCCGTACAGAATTGTTAATATTACTATTTTAATAGTGTGGCTAGTTTTATTTTACATCTGAGCGGCTGAGAGATATGGTTAGCATTTCACACTGTGGAACGTACTATGTACTCCTTGCACAGATGACGGTGCCCTTTTGATTGGTTCATTGCCTACATACAGATTTGCTTTTGCAAATATTCATCCTGCTAAAGTTGCATGGCGGTATGAGCCAAGACAAATATGTGATCCCCAGTCAATCATCATCAGGTAGTATCTATTTACCAATACCAATAATTTGTAACTACTGAAATATAAAAGTGCTCACAAAGGCAATACATAGAAAATAGCTACATTTTTTTTTCTTTAGAGGCTATTTATATTTTTAAACTTTTAAATATATGAGATGCAACTGACCTCAC